ATATATATATATATATATATATAATATATATATATATATATATATATATGTACATGAGTGTACACATGCTGCATGTACGCATATGGGCAGGTGCATGCATGAATGTGTCCACACACATATGTACATAGGGGGAGTACTTAAAATATTTTATTTATTATTATTATTTTTGTATTATTTATTTATTTATTATTTTTATTTATTTATTTATTTTTTGTACCCCCCTATGTATATTCCTATCATATTTTTCAGACTATAGGTCGCACTTTTTTTTCATGGTTTGGGTGTTTCCTGTGACTTATTCTCCGGTGTGACTTATATATTAAAATGTTGACAGTGAAGCGGTGAGAGGTTCTAGTCTTGTGTTTCAGTATCTGCTGCTCCTGTTCCTCCTGCACCACTGTCACCTCACTCTACTGCACATGTCTCCTGCAGAAATATTCAGCAAAAATGATAATTGAGCAGCAGAAAGAAAGTTTGGAGTGAGAGAAACTTGTGACACTGGGAGGATGCACCATGAAACTTTCCTAAAATCACTGGATGGATGGACAAAGCCTGAACTTCAGTGACACTGAAACCATCCTGTAGAGATTCAGAAAGGACCCAAATAATTCTAACTGGAACTGATGCTGAGTCTGACGACAGCGACACAGAAGAGGAAGCGGTGCTCCGTTTACCTCCAGAGGTCATAGAGTTGTTGAGAAGTGACACCGAGGATGAAGAATTGAATGGATTTAGTGATTTGGAGTGAGATGGAGAGTTTGGTAAACTTGTTCTGTTCTGTTGTTTATGTTATAGTTTATCTGAAGAACTGTTCATATGTGACGTTAACAGTCTGTTCTTCTCTCTAGATCTTGACTTTCAACAGGAAATGTCGGTTCCTGGTTTCTGATTTTATAAAATACATTTCCCCCAAAAAGTGCAACTTATTATGTTTTTTTCTTCTTCATTACACATTTTTTGGCTGGTGCGACTTATACTCTGGAGTGACTTACAGTCCGAAAAATACAGTAATTAAAAAAAAAATAAAAAAAATATCCACCTTCACTAGCATCATTTGGTTCATTTCAGCCCTAGAATTTCCCATCTCTACTGAACTACAGGTAAAAGGAGCTGTTAACTTGAACACTATTGCATCATGACATCACAAGGTGGAACAGAGCATTTTGAGCTTTGGAGATGTAGACAGACTAATAAAATTGTTACTCAAACACAACTCCAGGTCTATTTTTGAGGAGGTAACAACATTATAGCATGACTTAAAGCTCACAAGAGTCATTTGTATGTATTATTCGACCGTTTTCAATTTCTTTCAAAAACAGTACATTTCCCATAGGAGTTATTCTGGCCCCTGCCCACCCGCTCAAATTATAAGATCAAATGAAACTTGGATTTGCATACAAGATACGACGAGTCCATCTGTGGGGACTGTGCATGAACGAGTGTGTGTTGGTTTTTATGCCTATAATAGTGATAATAAAGGCTTATGACACAGTGAAATGACTATTGATTTTGTGCTGGGCAGATTTACACAGAGCCCATGTGTTCCCTGCTCTTACATTCTACAGGCCGTCTTAAATCAATACACGACCCAGAGATTAATCATACCAAAATGTGACGCTCGGTTGGTGCAAATCACATTAATGGAGCTTCGGTGGCAGCAGGAGGTTTGCTTATGTTTATAGAGCCCTGTGCGGTGGCGTCTTGCAGGGGTGTTCTACAGGTATGTCTACGGGAGGAGTGTTCAGCAGTTAGCATTAACATGAGTAATAACTAGGGATGCTGGCATACTGTGTAGAGCAGGGCTCTCTAACCTGGAGCCTGGGAGTCACCAGTAGCTCTCCAAATGTGAACGACAATGATCACTGACAGACATGTTCACGCTCTGCTTTGTTTGCTGTTGTGTCGGTGTGGTATAGGTGAGGACCCGCGGTGAGGTGACCCCGGGGTCAACATACCATACAGTATTTTGACCCCGGGGTCAGAATCCTGTTCTGGTATGTTGACCCCCTATGAAAATCTATATTTTATTAATAAAGAACTTGAATTCTATAGAAAAACTCTTAATTTGCAGATATAGTATTAATATTCAAACATATTGACATATTTAAAAGTGAAGAACTTTTTATGTCGATTATAACTTTTGAATGTTAAATATTACTTAGTTGTTTAACCTGTTACCACCCACCTCATTTTGGCGTGTGCACAATAGCACTACATACCCAAGTGCCATAGCTTATTAAAAGAAAACCTTAGAACCCACATGCTTGTGTGAGGCACCATTTTAAAGCTTAGACCTTCTAGTTTCTGTAGATATGTACATGAAGACTGTGAGTGCTGCCTAACCTACAGTACAGTCAATTAAAAATGTCTAAACATTGTATTTTCTTTGCTTCAAAAAAAATAAAAAATAAAATAAAGGCCCTATCTTGGGCATACTTCATGTTAGACACATATTTTACTGAAAAAGAGATAATTAGTTATTAATTAATTAGGTAAACAAAATGATGTATAATAATTTGGAATCTTGTTCAAATAGACAGGGCTGATCAATTGAGTAGTTAAATAGGAGAAACCTATAGCTATAGTAATCTGACCTCCAATATGTTTATTATAACACAACATGACTAAATTCAAGGTCAATATTCTTACAAACCATTGCCTAAATTGACATGATGATTAAGGATCATCTGAACAGAGCAAACTAAAAACCGTAACAATGTAAAATACAATATAAAAAGTGACAAGATTGTTATGTATATGCAATTTTAACAATACGTTACATTTATACAAAATACCAAGTCGTTCTACATCAAAACATTCCTTAAAATACCTTAAAAGAAAATGAACATGTAGTAATATATAATAAAAATCAATGACATGATAAATAATGATCAGATAAGTAACAACTAAAGAAAAAAGTAAGAGGAGTCAAAATCTTATGGGGGGGTCACTTTACTATAGCAGTATGTTGACCCCGGGGTCAATAGACTATGGGGGTCAAAATACTTTCTCACACCAGCAATTACTTGGACACCACTGAGCGTTCTGCTGCATTACATACGACATGACCAAATAGCAGCGATTGGTTACATAAAAATAGTAGAATTTTGGTTAATTAAATGGATATTACAATTGTAAATGTTTTATTTTGATGCCTAACTTTGTGCGGTTATAAATGGTTTATGTTTTATAGGCATAACTCTACTCATCTAAGGCCGTGGTTCTTTTATATACTCAATTTCTTGCGACGGCTAAAATGACTAAGCCTGATTCATCAACCGATATCACTTCGTGGAAATCATCTGACCTCGCAGCATTAGGATTTGTTTGCTCGATGGTAGGTGGGTACTTTTTTTATTTAATCAATCGCTGCTATTTGGTCGTGACGTATGTAATGCGCCAGAATGAACAGTGGTGTCCAAGTAATTGCGGCACAACAGCAAACAAAACAGAGGGTGAACATGTCTGTCAACGATCATTGTTGTTTCTGCAGGTGAACTTGCGAATTAAAGGTGCAATAAAAAATGCTAAGTTTGTATTTAAGAGGAATTCCAGAGGATGATAGCTTATGCAGTCTGCTATCACAACTCAGGGTGGTTCAGCTCTTTGCTGATTGGCTGTTGCGCGGTCTACAACTTCCAGGGTTCTTCCAAACTGTCTAGTGTATTCCGATTTCTGAGCTAGTCGCTTTAAAGAAATGAAATTGAGCGGAGGCACTAGGTGGCGCCAGCCTGGCTAAAAATGAGAGCTCTCTGGTATTTTTGTTTTGTTAAGGTAGCTCACCGGAGGAAAAAAGGTTGGAGACCCCTGGTGTAAAGTATCTGTGCCAATCTTGGAATATTTGCAGTATTGAGTCCATCGGTTCAACTGATATCCTGATTGAACTCTTTACTGCCTGATGTAGACCCAGGACTTCTCATGATGTTTGAACTAACTACAAAACAGGGTTCCCACTCTTTTTCACTGACAAAATTTCAAAAATTTTCCATGACTTTTTTATGAGCTAAACTGAATTTTCCATGACTTTACAGCACCTACACGTGTAGAACTGATCAGACTTTTAGAGCTAATTATGAAATGTTAATCCTTTTCACTCACTTTATGGTTTGGGATTATAGATTTGAACATTCAACATCCTGTCAGTGCATTTATTGTCGCCTCTTTTAAACAAAAGGTGCAGATGTTAAAAAATAATCATAATAGTCTAATGAGAACTTAACAGAACACTGGACTTGTGTGAAAGAAATACTAAAAGTAAAAATAGCTAACTAAAAATAGCTTTTCCAAAACTTTCATTGAATTTACAAAATTCCATGACTTTTCCAGGCCTGGAAAATTATATTTTCAATTTCCATTACTTTTCCAAGATTTCCATGATGATGGGAATCCTGCTAAAGTCTGCATTTCATCTGGACTAAACAAGCGTACTTTAGAACTTTTGAGCACTGGTGTGAATACACCCTTAGTGTAGATCAGACACCAGAGTCATGTCCATTTAGTTCAGGTTTAGTCCTGGTTCACTCTTGGTTCAGATTTGGCTCCATCCTGATCTGGTCCTGATTTAGACCTAGTTTAGATCTGGTTTAGTCCTGGTTCAGACCTAATTCAGACCTGGTCCAGACCCAGCTCAGTCCTGTTCACACGTGGATCTGACTGTGTATTGTTGTGTACAGTTTTTAATAGTTGTTTAATCCTGCAGTTGTAGTTGGACTGGTCTGTTCTCATTTGCAGTGAGTCATGTGTCCACAGGTCTGAATGCACAGAGCCTGACCTGACTCAGACCTGGCTGATCCCGACACAGGGAGAATATTGGACTCACACAACACTGGACTCAGACTAAATTAAGACTGGACTCGAGGACTAAAGGACTGGACTAGAATCTTCTCAGGTTTGGAAATGAGTCGGTGTTCCTTTGATGAAGAGTCCCTTTTGATCCAAAATGACAACACTCAAAGGCTCAGTTACACTTCAATATTTATTCAGATACAAACAGAGCAGGACATGTGTGGACAGCAGGGGGCGCTAATGAGCACAGCTCACAGTGGGAGGAAAACCTTTTTATTAAAGCTTTAACGGAACCCTGTCAATGTCACTAAACAAACCAATACTACTGTCACCTTATTTTACTGATAATAATACGCAATGATTGTTTCTGTTGTGTAGCTGTTAAATTACTCTGGTGATTATTTACAAGAAAAACAGGCTTTAACAATAGAATGGTGAGAGCAGAGGTCTCCAAACTAGGGATGGGACAATTTTCAAAAAAAGATTGAATTCTGGAGTTTCGATTCAATTTCATGCTGCATTCTCACATGTCCCTCCAGTTCATTTCTTCAGTCCCTTAGTTTTTTAGGTTTTTTTTTTTTCTTTTCTGGCTTTATATAGCTAGGGAGTTTTGGGAACATATTATGACCACTAAACCTGGGAGCTTTTAATTTACGGCTGACCAGTAGAGACACTGAGGAATTATAAAATCCCAGTCCAAACCCTGGAAACAGAGGCTCAGTGAATGTGTTGTTGAAGGTGTAGAGGTGGAATAGTGTTCTATCATAGCAGACACCGTAGAAGGACAGAACTCCAGCCTCACAGTCCAGGAACACGCCCACTCTGTCAGGGAACAGGTATGTTCTCTGTGAAGAGTTGATGTGTGTGAGATCTGTCCATGTACTATTGTGAAGGACAGAGCAGTGTTTCTGATTGATCTCCAAACTCCAGGACTGATCATTGTCTCCAAACTTACAGCCCTCCCCTGCTCCTGTCCGCCTGATCCCTCTGTAACTCACTGCTATAGAAAAACTCCCCTCCCCTCTCAGCTCCACTTCCCAGAAAGAGCGCCCCCATAGGCCACTGCAGCTCAGGACCTGTTTCCTGTCTATGAATCTGTCCTCATGATCTGGATACTTCTGATTTTTAGACACAGGTCACAGTCTGATTGTCTTCAGACAGAAGCAGCTCTCTGTGAGCTGTGTTTGGGTCCAGAAAGAACTCAAAGGAGTCTAAAACACAAAAACATCTTAATGTAATAATGAACATATACATCTGTGCCAAAAATAAAAGCAGACTCACACTTCCTCAGACCTGGGACCATCCAGCGCTCTCCAGCAGGAGCCAGCCTGAAACACATAGTCCAGATTAGACCAGGACCAGAGACCAGACCAGGACCAACTATGGATCAGAGGCCAACAGATAGCACGGGTCAGTCTTACCCGACATACAGGAGGGGCCCCTCCTTCCATAGAGCGTTCAGGAACTCGCTGGAGGGTCCTGGATGGTTGTAGCTCAGGTCTAACTCTCTGAGGTGGGAGGGGGCGGAGCTCAGAGCTGAGGCCAGAGCAGCCCCGCCTCTTTTTGAGATCAGACATCCAGACAGCCTAAAGACACAGCATTACACTCATGTGGACACAAGGGGGCAGAGTGCATCATGGGGGCGTCTCACCTGAGCGTCTCCAGTCTGCAGGGGGCGCTCTTCAGTCCAGAACACAGCAGCTCCACTCCTGAGTCCTGGAGGTCATTGTTACTGAGATCCAGATGTGTGAGACTGGAGGAGCTGAGGACTGAGGCCAGAGGAGCACAGCTGTGAGGGGACAGGCCACAGCCACAAAGACTGAGGACAGAGAGGGACGTTAGAGACTAGAACCTCCACACAAGACTTTAAATACCATCTGGACTCACAGGGCTTTGGTGGAGGCTCTGACCACCGGCAGCAGACCCAGGAGAGCTCTCTCTGAGCGCTGGTATTTCCTCAGGTCAAACTCCTCCAGGTCTGAGTCTGAGGACAGTAAGAGGTAGCACAGAACCGACCAGTGAGCAGGAGGCATGTTTTGCTCAGAGAGCTCTCCTTCTCTCATGTACTCCTGTATCTCCTGCACCAGACTGTGGTTGTTAATCTCATTCAGACAGTGGAACAAATTTAGGCTTTCTCTACAGACAGACTCTTTTCATTCATCTTCTGTTTGATGTACTTTAATGTCTTCTGACTGAACTGGTTATCTCCTGTCTGAGTCAGCAGGCCCTGCAGCAGCTTCTGATTAATTGGCAGAGATAGCCCCAGGAGGAAACGCAGGAACAGGTCCAGGTGTCCATTTGGACTCTGTAAGGCCTGGTCCACAGCAGAACAGTGGAGATCTTTTATTGTAAGTCTAGTTTTAGATTCTTGTGAGAAGACTTTTTTGACCTCCAGCAGATTGACCCGAGACCTGGTAAAAGTGTGATGGACGTAAAGAGCAGCCAGAAACTCCTGCACACTCAGATGGATGAAGCAGTAGACCTTGTCCTGGTACAGGCCTGGCTCCTCTCTGAAGACCTGTGTGAACACTCCGGAGTACACTGAGGCTGCTGTTGCATCCAGACCACACTCGCTCAGGTCACTCTCATAGAAGATCAGGTTTCCTTTCTGCAGCTGCTCAAAGGCCAGTTTTCCCAGAAACCATACCATCTCCCTGATCTCTGGAGTCCAGTGAAGGTCCACCCCTGATCCCTGGTAATACTTGATGTTCCTCACTTTTGCCTGCATCACCAGGAAATGGATGTACATCTGTGTGAGAGTTTGGGGCAGTTCTGGCCTCTCTGTTTGTTCCAGAAGCTTCTGTAGAACTGTGGAGAGGATCCAGCAGAAAAAAGGGATGCTGCACATGATGTGGAGGCTTTGGAGGCTCTTGATGTGGGAGATGACGGCTGTGGCCTGGTCTCTGAACCTTTTTCTGAAGTACTGCTCCTTCTGTGGGTTGGCGAACCCTTGCACCTCTGTTACCATGGAGATGAACTCAGCAGGGATCTGATTGGCCGCGTCAGGGCGCGTAGTTATCCAGAGGTGAGCGGAGGGAAGCAGCCTCCCCCTGATGAGGTTCACCAGCAGCACGTGCACTGAGGCGGACTTTGTGGGGTCGGTCAAGACCCGGGTTCGGCTGAAGTCCAGAGGAAGTCTGCACTCGTCCAGACCGTCAAAGATGAAGAGCACCTGGAGCTGTTGGAAGCTGCAAAGATCTTTGGATGGACTGAAGAAGTGGTGCAGCAGCTCCACAAGGCTGAACCGTCTCTTTCTGAGCATATTGAGTTCTCTGAAAGTGAATGGGAACAGCAGCTGGAGGTCCTGGTGGGCCCGACCTTCAGCCCAGTCCAGACTGAACTTCTGAGTCAGCACTGTTTTCCCCACGCCGGCCACACCCTTCGTCAGCACCAATCTGATTGGTTCTGGTGAATGTGGGCGGGCTTTAAAGAACTCTTCACATGTGATGGTGATCTCAGGAGCAGTTGGTATCATGGACAAGGTCTTCAAGTGTCTGACTTCATGTTCCTGGTTGACCTTTGTGGCTCCGCCCTCTGTGATGTAGAGCTCTGTGTAGAGCTGGGTCAGGGGGGTGGAGTTTTCTGCTTTAGTCACACCCTCAAACACAAGGCTGAACCTCTGCTGCAGATCAGACTTCAGTTCCTTTCTGCACACCTTAACAGAAATTCCTGAAGGACACAAGAGAAGATGAAATTTCTGTTGTGGTCTTCTCCCTCATGCCTCATGCATTGTTCTTACTGTTTCTCAAATTCAGGGCCAGATGTTCATGGCCCATCCTCCTGAGGAAATTCAGGGTGATGGTCAGAACCTCTGTGCTCTCCTCTTCGTCACTTTCGGAGCATTCTGGGTAATCAGAGGTCAGGAGCCTGTGGAGCCTCTGCAGCTGCTGTTGGACAAACCTCAGGACCTGCTCCTCCAGACGCTGCAAGAGAAAACACACACACAATGGGTGTCTATGCTTGTTGGGGGACATCATATTGACTTCCATTCATTTCTTGAAGACTGATCCTAACCTAAGCGTAACCTTAACCGTAATCCTTCAGCCAACCAGGCAACCAAGCCATCATGAAAAAGAATATTTATACATGTAACTGATAAAAGTTTATAAGAGTGAAAGCTTCAGGTTGACTGAAACTCAGTGTGTTGTTATGCACCACTTCCTGTGATGTCATTTCCTGGTGAGTGTATTCTGTTTGTGAGTTGTTTTGCTAGTAGACTTTTTTTTACTATTGTTAATCCACAGAACAATTACTTTTAAAACTTCTTTACACACATTGGGTAGTTGGTTACTTCCTTAATCCCCCCGAGCCTAATCCAGATCCCAGTGATTTAGTATTTCATGGATTAAAGCTGTAATATGAATGTATGTACGTGTAAATACATTTGATCTTAGCAAGCGACCAGGCATTACAAAGTGTAAAGTTGATTAATTCATGGCTGTGAAACAAACCACTCTGCTTTTATATGTATGCAGCTTTGTAATTACTCTTATAAATACTCCAAGCACAGATGCCCTGGAAGAGACGAGTATCTAGCCAGGAGAGAGAGGGACATTGTCCTGTCTATATCTGCTGTGACAAAGCCTGATCCTTTTTGTATCCTTTTCACTCACCAAGGCTTCACTTTTTATTTTTTTATTATTATTTTAATTATTATTATATATATTATTTTGGTGTCAGAAGACCTTCATCTTGATTTTCATTCATGGGACTATTTCTGGATGATTTTTTCCTCTTCAACTTTCTGTCTCTAAACTTCTGAAGAGTGTGATGGTTCCTGGTTTCTACCACAACTTCAACTCAGCAAACTTGTTGTCAGCGCCCGTTCACACCGCTCGATTCACCTGAAATCACTTTGTGCTGCCCGTGTGACATGCTCTGCAGTGCTTAAGTCGCGCTTCAATGCACCTCTACATAGAGTTTACATGGGAACAGCCCACGCAATTCACGTGTGCCACATCCAGAGTCAGTGTATCTTGTGCTGAGTCAACCAAGTGCAAAGCTTGGCCTGCGAGGGCTGTTCAATGACAGTTCCAGCTATAATTTAATCTCTTGTGCTCTTTGAGCAGGAATTTTACCCACTGAACAAATTCAAAAATTCACCAAAATTCAGGTGTGCGAGAATTTTCTTTGAATATATGTTGCATAACATAAAAAAAATATGCAACCACCTACAAAAATCAAAATACATATTGCCTCAGTGGGAGGTGTTCTGACATAAGGTTTGTTTAGTGTTAAGGTTTAATTTGTTTTAGTCTAGTATTGCTTAGAATCTTAATATTTTTCAGTATCATTAAGGATCTTTTAGTATGGTTTAGCATCGTTTTGTATCATACTGACAGAGGAGTTTCAGAGCCAGAACTGAACATGGATGTAAAAGTGTGAAAACAAACCTTAAAAATGTTGTCCAATGTGTGAGGCTCCAGAGAGGAGAGGGACAGAGGACCCTCGTCTCTGTGGACACAAGGAAACATGACTGAGACAAAAGACTGTAGACTGAGAGACAAGAGAAACAACAGGAGGGAGCATGCATCTGCATGTGAGCTCATGAGCAACACTGGCACCCTCACCTCAGACTGGACCCTTTAAACTCCACAGGCAGGTCTTTGGAGTGGTCACTGCTTAAGGACTCACAATCCAGGTATGATCCTGGTCCAGATCCTGGGTATGTTCCAAGTATGGGTCTTACTTTCATTTTTCTGCAGGCAACGTCCAGGATCACATCAAACAGGAGAAGTGGGTTCAGTAAAATACAAATGTTTGTATTAAATATGATTATGATACATTAGGGTGTGTATTCTTCACATTAAACAGTGTCCCACTGATTCTCTTCTGTTAAATTCAATTTAAACTCTGAGCTAGGAACCAGGATACACTCTGTCTGCTCCAGTTGACACTTTTATATTTCATTTTAATGTGACAGAAACAAGACTGACCTGATTTTAGTGGATCCTGTAAACCCCACAGGTAGGTCTTTGGAGTGGTCAGTCTTCAGCGACTCATAGTCAAGGCTAGATCCTGCTCCAGATCTTGGGTCTGATTCGAGTGTGGGTTTCAAATTTTCCATTTTCTGTAAAACTACAACAACACACCTGTAAACTCTTAGTTTAGCTCCAATGCCATAGTCCTTTCCATTTTTTCCATTTAATTCTGGTATAGACCTGATTCAGTCCTGACTCAGACCTGGTTCACGCGTGACTCTGACTGTGTATAGTTATGTACACTGTTTAATAGTTGTTTAATTCTGCAGTTCTGGTTGGACTGGTCTGTTCTCATTTGCAGTGAGTCATGTTACTGTCTACAGGCCTGGACTTGCAGAGCCTGATCCTGACTCAGACCGGGTCCTGGTTCATATCCGGACTCACCAATCCTGAGCTCAGTGACATGTTTTTAAAAAGTATTTTATCATAATGATTTTATTTTACTATCATTAATCATTATGTTATGCTGAACTGTATCACTGAAGATTTCTTTCTGATAAAGATTTAAAGTGCTGGGTTGGGTTTGAGGTTTGAGCCATAGACTGCACATACAAGTCAATGTTGTTATTGTACATATTCTGTGTACAAAATATGTATGTGGTATAATTGTATATTGAAGTCTATAGTTTGAGCCTCACAGTTTGAACCTCTGACTTACCTCGTGCATCCCTCGTGTGTTTCTGTGCATCTGTGTTTGTCCGATTGAGAACTGCTGCACAGACCAGAGGGCAGGGACAAGTCCGAGAATCAGTACCTAAACCCAGATCAAGACCTAAAGAGGAACCAGGAAAGCACTCCCCCCAATACCAACAGACGGACCAGTATCAAGAGAAGAAGCAGAAGAAACCAGAGGAACAGGGTCTGAGGTCCAAAACAAGGAAATATAACAAGACCCAGTCCAAGACCAGGCTCCAAACCAGAACTAAGATCCAGTCCAAGATCGGAAACAGGACAATTAAAAGATGTACTTTCAAGATACCCAAAGCACTTTAAAGTGCAGCATTCATTCACTCCACACTCTGCGGTGGTGAGGTACTGTTGTAGCCAAAGCTGCCTAGGACATACTGATGGAAGCGCCTCTTCCTCTTCCTGTGTCGCTGTCGTCAGACTCAGCATCAGTTCCAGTTAGAATTATTCCAGCCTTTCTGAATCCCGACAGGATGGTTTTAGTGTCACTGAAGTCCAGACTTTGTTGTCACAGGAAACTATGAAAAAAAGTGTGACTTATAGTCCAAAATATACAGTAATCATGTAATACAAGTAATAGTCATGTATCAATAAAATGAAATTACTTTTTTAAATAAATCCTATTATGTGTTCTATATGTAACAGAAGTAATATTGTATTATAAATGTATCAAATTTTTAAATTTTCTTGTTTTACAACCATTACAATAGACTATTATACTTCGCGCTCCCATAGATCATAAGATGCTTGGGCCGGTGCAAAACTTGATCAGAGAAAACTTCGGCACATAGGATATCAGACAGATTGCCTAACTGATTGCCGTGGGAAACATGCATTTTAAAGAGCATAAGCCAGCCTTTGGGAAGATATCTAATCTAAAATGAAGGCTGCATGGGCCCTTTGTGCTTCATTAATTTGGTCATGTAGGCGATCTGCGGAGAACACCATATATGACATGACAGAACAGCGATACTAAGGCTACGTTTAATATGATGATGATTGGAACAGAAGACGCAAAAGTGGCGTCGCGTCTTCACTTTTTATTCCATGCTTAGACAAATGTTTTCGGGAGTAAATCTGCGTGCATATGGTGACGCAAAAGTGTGTGGAATTCAATTGGGTATGCATGCCAGGCGGTTAGGTAGTGACGCTACGTGGTAATGTTTGTGACATAAACACGTACGTGACATGAGCAGATCTGACCAGAGTTTTACATCTTTGGCAGTGTAGACAGATATGCTACAGCAGAGCGTATTCAATTCTGGAGGGTGGTTTCAGATTTTTGTGTTTTTAAGCCCCCAAAACGCTGTCACCGTCTAAACAAAACTCACTTTTGATAAAATATCTTGCAGTTTTTACTCGCAAGCATTCTCCTGCAGACAGGCCCTAAAAAGTGTCAGAAAACCAGCACGTCTAAAAAGAGGCATGTCGCAATACCGGCTTGTCTTAATAGTTGTAATGTCACAATGAAGGCATGTCGGAATAGGCGGTGGACCCCTAAAGAAAGTGTGAAAGAAACAAAACACAACATTATTACATAGATCAGAAAACACGGTAGTATAGGGTGACCATACTTCCGTTTGTGAAAAGCCGGACACCTTACCGGGAGTGGGAGGTGGGGCCTCAACACTGAGCTATAGTCATCCCTCACTCGCTATATCGTGGTCCACCTTTCGCGGTCTCGCTGTTTTGCTGATTTTTATTTTTTTTACACATGGGTGGGTCAGGACTAAACCAGGTCTAAACCAGGACTAATCTTGGACTTAAGAGAGAGAACACCGAACAGTTTGTCTGCAAAGCGCGATTGGGAAATTGCCGCGCTTACCTCCGTGAGGTGTGGAGCTCGGAGCCGGTCCTTTCTCCTGCGGTCACCTCCGAGCCCGTCCCAACAGTGAGAGCTGTTTTAGTCCTAGTGCAGTTCTAGTTTAGTCCTCCTCTTCAGTCCTGGAATCAGTCCTAGATTAGTCCTGGGTTAGTCCTGGTTTAGTCTTGGTTCAGTCCATGGCGTAGGCAGCGCAAAAGTTTGATACAGTTTCGGGTTTACGGCCGGGTGTGTTGTTGTACTGGGCGTCTCCAAAAATGGACCCATGCAGGACTCTGTGCTGTAGGCTGTATTACGGAATAAATGAATTTTCAGTTCGTTACACAAAGAAGGAGGAAAATAACAAAAGGACGACAGCAGCAACAAGTTTTAAGAAGGATGTAAAAATGGTTGCACCTGTCCTGTCTGAACAAAGTGTATAAAGTTTGTGGTGAGGGGTTTTACAGATTTTAAACAGATATAATAATTATAAAATATAAAGTTGACTACTTCGCGGATTTCACCTATCGTGGGTTATTTTTTGAACGTAACTCCCACGATAAACGGGACAATAAAAGGGATCACTGTACTCTCACCTCACAACCTGTGCACATGGCTTCACACTTGTCCTGACCGGGATGGAAAATGGAGAATTTCTTGTACAAGTCATTGTTAAATGTGCATTTGCATTTCGGCATGTTGCAGACTGACCGACTGTTTGTGTCTCGCTCCTTCTGAGTCACAGACGCTACAAGAGACGCTCAGTTTAATGCCCCCAAATGAACGGTGTGAAAACCCAGACATTTGCATCACTTAAAAAAAAACACAAAAAAAACGGACGCCCAGGACAGGACGCAAAATAAACGCAAAAACGGACGTTTGGTCACCCTACCGTAGTATAGTCCCTTTAAATACATACTTCTTTTCTTCCGTGATCAGGTTCGGTTAAACAGCAGAAAGCCCAACAGGACGCAAAAGTCAACACATTCAACACATACTTGCTGCTCCTTCGCCCAGGGCTTGAAATGCTAACCACTCTGCCACTGCGCACCTCTCCATAACAAAAGAATGGATTAAAATAGGACAGATAAGGCAGGCTGGTTGAGACCCTGTTTGTGGAGAAGGAAGCATATTAATCACCTGCATTAGTCCGGTCCTGTTGGCACCGCCTTATCTGTACAGTGTATAATGAGTTTGAGGAGGATTTAGAGACTTCTTTGTCCTTGGTATTGTCCCCTCCTGTTTTTCTCTCTCCTTTTTAGACTTTAATCCCGGCTTGATTTTGTAAAGAGGAGATGAAGGTAAGCGCTAAGAAGCTAGGGGTTGTTTTAAGTAAAAGTGGTTCAAAGTCTGCTGGATGGTAATGAGGTACAAAGCTGTTGAGTTGTCATTATATAAAACAAATTAAAGTAAATATAACAAATGAAACAGGCAAGTCCAAGTCGAGGCTTGGCATGTGTTAATACTGCCGCCATGTTGGTATGGGGCAGTTACAAGGTTACATTTTTGACAGTATCAACAAGCGAAGATGCAGGACTTTTGCGCCGCATACAAATGAGCGGAATAAGAAGACGAAAGAGCAAAGCATAACATTTTATTTCATAAGTAAGGTTTTACTAAATGTGATGCTAAATGTTGCGTTTTGAACCCAGACTGACTGAACCAGGACTGAACCAGGACTAAACAAGGACTAAACAAGGACTGAACCAGGACTAAACCAGGTCTAAAACAGGACTAAAACAGGACTAAACCAGAACTAAACCAGGACTGAACCAGGACTAATCTTGGACTGCTACTTGGTCTGTGGGAAATATGGGAATGTCATGGAAATTGAAAAGTCATGGAAATTAGTAAATTCAATGAATATTTTGGAAAAGTCATGCAATTTTAGTCTCTCTTTCACACAACTACAGCATTCTATTAAGTTCTCATGAGGTTATTCTGATTATTTCTGAACGTCTGTGAGTTTTTATTTAAAAGAGACGACAATAAATGCAATGATAGGATTTGAATGTTAAAAACTATAAAACCATAAGGTGAGTGGAAAGTGTTAACATTTCATATTTAACGCTAAAAGTCTGAACAATTCTACACATGTAGGTGCTGTAAAGTCATGGAAAATTCACTTTAGGTCATGAAAAAGTCATGGAAAAGTTTTGAAATTTTGACAGTGCAGCGTCATGGCGGCTTTGCTGACGCATTCGTTCCTGTAGAAAGCAGTAGTCAGTGCAAGGTCTATCGTTCTATATCTGTGTTTGAAACCAATAAAGTTTGATTCTTTTCTCTGATGTTTACCTCATGAAGTTTCCCTCATGTTTACTCTTTCCTTCCTCGGGAGGGTCGAGGAGAGGAATCAAGGAGAAGGAAGGAGAAATGAGACAGGACCAAAAAGTTAAACCACAAAAACTACATGTACATTTAGCACCTGCTTTGTAAATATACCCAAGTATACACAGTTTTATAGTGAAAACAACAGATTTAGTCTCATGGTTTAGTTCCATTTTAACCAGAGTTGCCAGGTCCACAAAAAAAGAAAAGGCAACCCTTTATAATAACTACACCTTATTTAGCCTTAATAAAGCATGAACAAAGACTTAATTAATAATGATTCACGCTTAGTAACTACTTAATTACTACCTGAATTAGCACTTAACTTTAACTTAATTCACCTGTGCTGTAAATAGTTACTCAATACTTCTTAATTACTCATG